TGTATTTGATTGTATTTATCTGCAGTTAGTTACACGAATTCAGATATGAGAAGGGTTTAAAAGTTTTTAAGAGTTTTAAGAGTTTTTAAGAGTTTTAAGAGTTTTTAAGAGTTTTAGCCAAATGCTTTATAATATAGTATAGATTATATTTAAAATGAGATGTTTATCCTGTATTTGATTGTATTTATCTGCAGTTAGTTACACGAATTCAGATATGAGAAGGGTTTAAAATTTTTTAAGAGTTTTAAGAGTTTTAAAAGTTTTTAAGAGTTTTAGCCAAATGCTTTATAATATAGTATAGATATATATATATATATATATTGTAATATTAAGTGTGTTAAATATTCCTTCATGTTCATAAATTAATCATGGGAGTTAAAAGAAAATAAGATAGGTATATAAATTGTTAGTCTCATTAAAACCTTATATTAAAGAACAAAACCTAATGGTAAAAAAAATAAAACCATGAGTGAAGAAAAGATCTCAACACAACAACATTACATGTGTAATAGACTCTTCTTTTGTCTACTACCTTCCTAATGCCTACATCTAATCAAGGGAGTTTAGAAAGTTTCCGCATTCTAATGCTTTCCACATGTTTCTCAAATGTGGCTTTGGGCAAAGATTTAGTAAACAAATCATTTCACGTTCTCTTTAAACCTTACTTGATTCACTTGAATCTTAAGGAGAATCTGTTGTTGCTGATTATAGAAAAGCTTTGGCAAAAAATATGACACCCCCAAACACCACATTTGCATATAACATATATTTCATTACAAAGAAATACAGTTTACACCACAATGGTCTCATTAGTATATGAATTCTTATATATACAAAATCTACAAATGAAAAAATTCCAAAATAAAATCATGTACTAACACATGTATAACAACATGTATCTTCAAAATAAGCAATCTCATGATAATCTTCAAAAGCAGATATCAAGTAGGGAAAATAATCACATTTTTCCTTTTCTCTTAATATTCCTGGACCCCGCAGTTACTGCATTGCATATTTTTGAAACACAAAATGAGGGTTAGACCAAAAAGATCTAACGAGTAAATCCCTTCTTTGCATATGCAGGGTGTCAAACACCAAAATCTGATAAAATAACTTTTCATAGAAATAATTGTATTTCAACAAAATAATGCAGTTTACAATATGATCAAAATAAGATCAATAGTTAACATCATCACATAATTCAAATGTACCCTTCTAATACCAAGAGCTCAAAATAGAACTCTATCTCAACGGGCCAAAGCACCTCTGACTCAACGGGCCAGAGCCTCTCTGGTTCAAAAGACCAGAACCCCTTTGGTTTTACAGACCAGAGCCTCTTCTACCTTACCAACCAAAGCTTTTGGTTCAACTAACCAAATAAAACCTTAAGTCCAAAAGAATTTAACATAATTTAAAAAGACAAGTAAACTAGAATCAGGGCTCCTCTGACTCTTAAACTTTAGTTATAAATAATTTTGATGAAAAGACAATTTTAAAGAATGAAATACAGAGTTTCTGTATGAAACATAAATCTTAAAATACAGAGTTTCTGTATGAAACATACAGAGCCTTTGATTTATAAAATTCCCAAAGTATCAAAAACCCTTTTTACATAACCAGAGGTCCTCTGGTCCTTGAGTACGACCAACAAGAGCCCCTTTGTATGTATTAAAAATATTGATAAAAACTTAGGCAATAATGGCTCTTAAGAAAAACCATTTTCCCCTTCTCAATAACATTTAAATTATTATTTCTAAAGAGAACAATATCTCTAATTCATCAAGTCACAAAGAAATGATGATTTAGAATCATTGTATCTAATTAGTGATAATAACAAAAGCTATAGTATTATCCACATATGACAATGCATCCTTTATTCCAAAGTACACATGTACTTGATATGTCGCCCTTATTCCTTCATTAAAACAGGGTTACTTGTCAGAACAGACATAAGTCACCACATCTTGAAGTATCCATCACCCAGTTCCAAGCCAGAACAGACAAATGTCACCACGTCTGGGAAGTATCTCTTAAAACAAGTTTTGTACCAAACAGACTTACGTCACCACGCTTGGTAGAAACATTTCCCAAAATCCGGTTTCATACCAAAACAGACTTACGTCACCACACTTGGTAGGAACATTTCCCAAAAATACAATTTCGTACCAAAACAGACTTACGTCACCACGCTTGGTAGAAACATTTCCCAAAATCCAGATCCATACCAAAACAAACTTACGTCACCACACTTGATAGGAACATTATCTTTTCTCTTTAAAAGATATAAAATACCCCTTCTCATAATAACAAATTTTAACCCAAATAATTGTTAAATTGTGAAAATTCCAAAAATTCCAAACACTTAGCATTTTGTGCAGATAGTTGTATCCAGACAGGCTATTCAGACAACACATGTCCGGACAAGCTTGGCCGGACTCCCTATCCGGACAACACTTGATAAACACAAAAACCCTATCCGGACGACACGTTAATCGGATGGGAACGCGTATCCAGACGGCACGATAAAACGACAATCCGGACGGCACGATAAAACGACAATTAATCCGAACACTACAACCGGATGGAACGCGTATCTGGACGGCTCAATAAACAGATTAAAACATTATCCGAACGACAC